TATATATATATATATATATATATATATATATGCATGCATGAGAGAGAGAGAGACAGATTAGAGACAAAAAAAATATATAACCATGCATGACAAATACTCTATATATTCACAGACAAATCTTTTTTTAGTTTAATAAAAATACTTCACTAGAAATATATGATTTTTTGTACGTGAAAGACTTATAACGTTTACTGAAAGTGTTAAATTTTGTGAAAATATACATACTGTATTTCAAGTTAGTAGTATCAAAACTATAAAGGCTTTAAATAAGTACAAAGAGATCATGTGATCAGTCAAATTGACTGAGCCTGTGTTGAGAGAGTTAATAACAAGTGAAATGAACTAAACATGCCCCATTTGATTGGGATTTTGTGCCTCCTTCAAATTTGGGGGCCAGGGTGCCTCGCGCCACTGCACCCTCCTAAGAGCCTGCCCTGCCTTTTTATTTCCCCACAAAAATACATGTGGTAGAAGAACAGAATAATATTACTGTTATAAAAGCTGTGAAACACTCGATAATGGCAATTAGGTACTCAAATAAGGCTATAACTCAACTTTAGCAGTTACTTATAAGCTTCGTAGAGTAACAGATTGAATGTCACAGCAATTTTTTCTCGGACAATACCTACAAACAAAGCACTACATGCAAAATATATCCCAGGCTCATTTCTGAATCTTCCATACCCACTGGCAGGCAGGAGTCCACCACGGATGAAGATATTGTGGGAAAAATATCGAGATATTGAGGATCAAACAAACAGTTACTGCCTCCACACAGTGGCCAATAGATAGCAGGATCAAGTTCCAAGACAACAGTGAAGGATAGTCAGTCAGCTTGCTCCAACAATGGTACAAGAGTTGGGTGGCAGTGAATGTGCTAATCTCTCTCAAAATGATGGGAAAATGATCACTGTTAACCCTCCAAGAAAAAAGTGAAGGGGAATAAATAGATAGATCAATAGCAGTAAAAGACTGACTAGGTGCATGAAAACAGGTATATGAACTTGTACTGAAGAGAGAGAAAGATTGTGATCTGAGAGCATATGCTCCATAGAATGGACCCTCCCATCAATATTAGCACCACCTTAGAGGGGATTGTGTATATTAAAGTCTCCAAACAGGAAAAAATGAGACAGCAACTGTTCAATAAGAACATCAAGGTCTGATTGATCATAAATCACTCCTGGTGACAGGTAAAAAGAAAACACACAATGGTGGTACGACACATGGAGATACGGACAGCTACAGCCTCAAGGGGCATAGTGAGTGGCACAGATATGGTAAGTAAATACTGGTCAACCAGCAGTGCCACACCTCCATGGACACTTCCATCACACAGCTTGTTATTTCGATATAAGGAAAACTGCCAAAAGATGACAGCATTGGCATCTGAGGAATGTTTCCTGTAAGAAGAGACACATGGAATGATAGGAATCAATCGAGGCCTTAATGTCATCCAAATTAGGGTGAAACCTTCACATTTCCACCGCATCAAAACAGCCATTTTTATTTAGGAGAACTGTGTGGAGAACCCTTTTGTTTGTGACCACAACGTTTTTGTTTAGTAGAAATAGGTCTGTCAACCACCATGGAATCTCATGAATTTGATACCCATTTGATTCACTGTTTTAATACATTTTTCTAATAATTTATATAATACTTATTTTCCTATATATTACCTAAACATATTAATGAGTTATGTCTCAGTATTTTGTTAAACATTTGTATTCCTTAATTTACCTTTCAAAAGAGGCTACTTCACCAACCTACAGTCTGTTGAATAATTTTATAAAATGCATAACAAAAGTAAAATATTGAAGTTTTCAGCCTGAATGGTGCCTGTTGCAGGGTTCATACATCTTCAGTGATTCAGACTTCCATGACTTTTCCAAAACTTTCCATACTACTTGAAACTGATTTTCCAGACCAAATATAGTAGGAAATAATCATATAATCTACATTCACTGTTTATTTTGTATATATTATGTGAAAGTATATAAAGGTATAACTACATGTGAAAGAGAATGATAGGACACAAATGACCTATTCTTTGACTTTTCCATGTCTTTTCATTCAGTTCAGCTGTTTCCCTCTGTTGATCGAGGTGTTGGTTATATTTCTATCTACTATTTTGAGAGGCAGTGAACAGTTCCTTCAACAAAGGATCTTCCAGAATACCTCCAACTGACTGCACATAATCATAGATTAACCACTGACCAACAAGGGAGATATCCTTCATTCACAGAAAAGTCCCTTTCAACAGTTTCTTGGTCATGAGAAGGTATCAAGATGAGTTTAACAACATGACATAAGGATTCATAATCCATAGCTTAGTCCATGTGTTTGAACAAAAAACAGTCAAGTCTATTGGTTTTGAGGTCAAAATCTTTGAAAATGTGGAAATTTGGCTTCACATCATGAGATAAAAAAGTCATATTGTCTGATTAAATTATCACATTCTTCTGCTTTGAGACATTTCAAATTGAAAAGAGTGGAGAGAACAGGCTAAAAATAAGCCTTACTATCCATCACATCTGAAGGCATTTTTAGAGAGGAAAAACAGGTGACATTATGAGTAAATGAGTATTATAATGGACACTTCACTAGCAATTTCTTAATTAAACAGATCAAAACAAACAAATGCTCCTTGTGAAATGCAAGCTCATCTCTTGGAGTTGTCTTCTCCAATACTTTCATATTTTCTGTTGTAAAAAAAATGAATATCAACATGCTTAGCTGATTTGATATTTTCTGTATTGCTTAAGTCAATTTTCAACAATTTAAATGTAGTGTCTGCTTTGGATAGCACATCGTGTTTTTCAAATCTTCTTGGAAGATTTTTGATCATAGACTCAAGATCACAGCTGACAAAAGGCACTACAGGGTAGTCAGTTTGATATTTCATCACAATTGAAGAGGGTCCTTCAGATACCAAAACATAAAATGATAACTTTGCTACAGAAAAAATATCATTTGTTGCAGATTTCACATTATTAAATGCTTGAATTTTTGGTACTGTGTAAAAGTTTGATTTGGCTTCAACTGTTTTGATGTATGTTTGGAAATTTGAAATAATTTCAATTGTCCTTTGTGCAACAGGTGCATTCTTTACACATTGGGTAGAACAAAATTTCAATGGATACATACAAGACCCAGTAATTTTCCCAAAGTCTTCCTATCTGGCTGAAGAATCTTTGAAAAGGTGGTACATTGATTTAAATATTGCTTCTAAATCCCAATTAGAGGCACTGGAAACACTACAAAGAGCCCTATGGACTGTGTGGAGACTACAAGACCCAATGTTGATTCTAATTTCTCATGGAACGACTGATTAACATTTCGATCATCCATCCCTATTTTCAAAAGATGGCTATGATTAAGCTCTTTTGTCAACTGTAAGAAATGGTTTAAGAGTTAATTAGCCTGTGTGTGGCCAAGAAATACAGAATCAAAAAATCTAGTTATCATAACATTGTTTTCTGAGTCAAAGTACCTAAGGTACACATCAAGTTGGTCCTTTTGGTTTTTTACCATTTAAGGATTCATCATACAAGAGCACAAAGTCTGTATCTTTTCCAAACTTTTGATACAAATTTGACTTGATATATGGGGCCAATCCAAATCAAACCATATATGCACATTTTTTCTGTCCATATGAGACTTGGATGCAACTTTACTATCTGGAAACATCCTTTTAAACAGTTCGTTTAAGTGTTCACAGCTTTTCTAACTGTACCAGCTAACAATGGTCTTCAGGACCCACAAAACCTCAGCTTTCCACTCATCTTCTTTTGAAACATATGAATCCTGTCTGCCCTGTAATGTATAAATTGCATAATGTGGTGCTGACACCTAGATGAAAAGAAGTGAATCATCCAAAGGCTAATTGCAAAACAATGCAATTTTATTAAATTGTAGTGTACATTTAAATCAATGAAATGTGGCCCATTCTCTTTAATATTAATGTTAACTTAGGAATGTTATTTACTTTCTTGCTGCACTATGGCATAGTGTTGATTTCAATGGACACTTCAAGGATTTTGACCTCAAAAACCAAGACTATGACATAGTGTTGATTTGTTGCAACAGTAGCCCTAACTGTCAGCCTAGAATTAGACAATACCAAACTGCAGATGTTGGCAGGGTTGCTGCTGATGTGTTCAATTTATGCACATTAGCCTCGTCCTTTTCCCCATCATATGGCTTATCACTGCAGACTAGCCCATATTGCTAACATCCAACTTTTTATGGCAAACACTGCAATAAACTTCTTGGCAATGTGCACCTGTAATGAGCCATTCCTGGTACTCATCCTTCAGAAGTCATGCATTGTTAAATATACATTTGCCCGGCATTTTCTAAGTAAGTACACATTCAGGTCAACACCACAGAACATAAAAATAATGACTGAAAAAAAATTAATCACAATTGTATAATTGCTTGAATGATGAGGCTCAGATGTCAATGGCCTCATTCAACCTTGTATCACTGAAATAATTCAAGTTGCTATTCACGCATGCACATGTGCAGCAAACACAGAGTGAATATATCCACCACATGTCAAAACATCTGCATCATAGTTGAAGTGGTACAGAAACTACAGAGTATACCGATGAACATAGTTCTGTAGTGACCTCTTTTATGGGGAAAAGTTAAGTCATACTAAAGGGGAATGACTCACAACAACAAGCAACCAAGACAAACACAAGTTATATGCATTAGATAACTGATCTCAACTGTTAAAGCTATGGTGTATACAGATGGTTGTATGTGTGTTTCTGCCACAGGTTTTAAAACATTTAGAACAAGAAGGGTAACCCCTGTCTAAATATAAGGAAAAGAAATACCTAATACACTTCATAAACTACAATATGTTTAGACAAAAATAAAAAACTGCTTTATACATATGTAAACAAAACCAGAACTGTGCTCTAGCAATACAAGTATTGCAATGGCAGCAATTTAACAGAAAAGTTGAACTGTTAGCTGTAAGTTTCAATAAAAGTAAACTAAAACAAAATAATGAAGAAAGATCTAATATATCTTTAAATTAATAGTTTAAAATACAATCATATACACATGAATCCCCAACACTTAGTTGAATGCCTTGAAATATATTAAATATGCATTTTACATGAGCAAAAGATAACAATTTTAGCTGTTGAACCTGAAATAAGAAATTAGTGTATAAATTGTATTGTAAAGAGAGTGGGGAATCATCCACTGATCGGGTGAGCAAAGACGTTTCTTATAGGATTCTATAACTTATGAGTTGTTCAAAATTCCAGTAATGTAGCTTAACATAATTTAAACATTGATCGAATACTAATATCTAATGATAAATGCACTTTTGAACTGATCCCAGTAAGTGAAATTTTTAAGTTCTTTATTCCATTTTTTACTATGTATTATGTCCTTCACTATTTTATTTCACCTACTCTGTTGAAACTTATGGTTACTACTTCAACACTTTTAACAAATTGTTGTTAGTCTTTTATTAATTCTGATGAACCAGAGCTGTTTTGGCCTTATATATATATTTACTGAGTTTTTTGTTTTGTTCTGCTAGTCAGTTATTAATTTCAAGAAACAATCTTATCTGCTCTCTGTGCACTTGCTTAGAATAACTTACATGGACTGATTGATTCCAAGATGCATAATAATTACGACAGTCACATTGTGGACAGCTATCTGTTGCTAATTCTAATAAACAAACTACATAAGTCATAATACACTTTTATCTTACTCAAGTTTTATCTTACTGCTTGGATGCAAATGGTATCTAAAATAATTTCTTCTCACAAACAGCACAATATAATTGTTGTTTATTCAATGCAGTAGAGATGTCATAAGTGTATGTCATTGAGCAACGATAATGTAAAGATCATTGTGCTATGACTACATTATTGCAGAAGTAAGATTAAGTTATTAATGGTGATCTATTACAGACTCATTCTAGTCAGTTAGTAAATGCATGATATGAACTTAAGGCTGATAAAGGATATTAACTACATGTGGGACTGAGTCAGATTCAGAATATTGGGATGCACAGTATGCATGTAATGTCTATAGAATTATATGTGCTAGTGCATGTATGTGCCTTTAATTTTGAAACCTGTAATATTGCAGACTAAATTGACATGGCTAAAACTGAGAAAGTAAAATATATTTAAAAAAAATTGTTTTTCTGGAGATAAGTTTTAATCCTAAAGTTCACTTGTCTCTTTAAGAAATAAAAGGTGAAAGCAGTGTGCATGAATTCATAAACATAGCATGTACTTCAAATATTTCAAAAACAATCTTTGTAATTTTTTTACTGAAATCTAACTACTTTACTTGCATAGTACAAGTAGACTGCAGCAAACAAAATTATGTATTTTGTTTTTTCGTAACTTACGCCTTTGTTACAATAACCCAATCTTAGTTACTAATTGTAAACGTAATTCAAAACTTGTATAAGTTATGTGTTAAGTTGTTGGGCTAACAATAGACATAAATTTTTTCTGGAATTACAAGCATAGACAAAATTACATGTACACAATCCAATAAATAAACCACACTTGTTGAAACTTTTAAAAACTTAAAGATCATCTTGTTCTCTATTAAAACACCAAAGTCTGAGAAGTTCTAAAATTTTCTGAAAACATACTAAAACTAAAAATGCTGTACACGTGTTTGTCAACAATAATTTTACTAAACAATTTACATCTGTCTGTATGAACAGAACAAAAACTTGAAACTATGATTTAGCTAAATATGCCAAACGAATATGGGTAATTTTATAAACAATGAAATCTTGTATCAATTTACAAATTGACACATACCACCAGCATAGGCATGACTCCAGTGCTTGGCTGTAAGCCAGAATATATCTGGATTTTCTTTAAACTGACGAGCAACTACAGCATCTTGTGGATCATCTGGTTCAGCTGCTGAGAGTAATGCTTGAAGAGAAAGCAGTACTGTTCGAAGTGTCATTGCTGCAGCCCTAATGGCAAAAATTTGAAATATATTGAAAACTTCAATAGTGAAGTATCAAGGTCTCAAAAAATGAAATGTTATGAATTTCATCTATATAGTATTTCCTAGGGATAGATTAAACAAATACATGTAAAAACCAGAATACTGATACTAATAGGTGAAAAGTTTTATTAATGTGATTCAAGAGAGCTCCTTCAGCTGTTCTGAATGAGATGAAAAAGTGCTAAAATGATGAAGTGTTCCACACATGCCTTGAGTGGCTTTATAGTACAAACGCACAAAAAACATTTTGAAAGTATCCTGGTATTAGCTCACAGAATATATCTTGAATGTTGCAGAAATGATCTAAACTACATTTAAATGTAAGCAGGAGTAATTTGCTTTTAAGAAGATGTTATGAGAACATTTTCAATTAAATGACAAGTATTCAAAGGTCTGAAAAACAACACAGTGGGAATACTGAACTTGAGAATGATCTATATTTATATCATGAAATATCCACTCACACAAACTCATAAACTATAATGAGTCTAAACTCTGAAGTCAACAAATGCAATGACATGGCCTTTCACCTGTGACCCATCTGCAAAGGATTAGCAGACAAATCTTATGTACTGTAATGCTTACTAATAGTTTGACAAATGTCATGAAGGTACATGTAACACATTAAAAGTTACAGTACAGATACTTTGATGGTTACCTGGTGGTTACAAGGTTAGTCAAAATAAATGAGCCTGTACAGATAGTTAAATAATTTTAATTTATTTGAAAAAGATATACACAAATATTTCAATTTAAGTTTAATGTGAGTATTATGATTTAGTTTATATAGTGAGTGCATTAAATTTAGTTGTTTTTAAAAACAATAGTTTAACGCAAGTTTGTTTATATAACTGTTTAAGAACCATACATTGTGTAGTTCATTAGTTATAAACTGGTGACTTATATTATTGTGTCATGTTACTAGAACCTTCTAAGTTTTTCTCATTTTCATTGAGTATTATTGCATTCAAGGCCTCTGTTGGGGCATAAATACACATAGAAAATTTATTTCGAGAGATAGGTAGATCTAGATTTTGTGATAATGAGTTGAGCCTTAAAGATCATATAGTGACAATTTTTAAAGTTAAATTATCACAGATTGTATTACAATAACAGAGTAGAGAAGAATTATTTATATTGTCAATTACGTTCTAAAGTAATTGAACCAGCCTGTGTGGACTTTGTTGGAAAAAAAAGAGAGAATTAATTAAAGCTTTTGATACAACTGTGATAACCAACAGTGCAACAAACATTTGTATATAAGTTTGTCTTGTTTTAACATATTATTTCAGCATAAGTGGACTGTATGCTGTTTATTTATTGTTGAAATTTATCGCCAACAAGTCACAGACACCTTCTGTAAAGAATCCAGCCCATATGTAAAACACGACAAAAGCTTTGTCTATCTATTGGTTATAAATGATGTAAAAGAAAACATCAGAGAGAGAAGTACTAGCAATTTGTGAAAGAGAGGATGTGACAGGTGTGCATATCAAGAGAGTCTGATTTTCTACTTTATGTCTCCATAAGCAAAGCTTGAAGGCAATAAAAATTAGACCTTGCCTTAGTAATATCTATACTGAGTAATTGACATTAAACACAGGACATCACCAAGGGGTGATGAAAAATAGAAGATGGGTAAGACTCAGCAAACAAATGCCATGATTCTCATACAAGGGAAGATTGACAATTTATTTAAGTATGACCTTTCAAAATTAAGAAATTAAATCTTATATAATATGAAATCTTGACTTATTAACTACATTTTGATGCCAAATTTGTTCATATACATTGATAATAGTGTAGTTTACTTAAATTTTGAATACAGCTCTGTAAAAGGTCATGATATGTGCACTTTGACCTACCTGAAGAGAGAAGGTTAATACCAATAGAAATTTGAGTTTAGTCTATAAAAATATATTTTCACATGGTCTCTATTTTTCACAGTAAATTAAAAACATCAGAATTTTAAAGTACTGCTCCTTAGTCAGTACAATAACTATGTATGCAAAAAATATTCCTTTCTTCTTACGATTATTTCTTTGATACAAAAAAAAGACCTTTAATAAGAATGAGTATAGTAGAATATAAGAGTGATGCCTTAATGTTACATGAAATATCTAAAGCATCTAACTGTAATATCTCAATGTTATGCAGAATTCCAAAACAGTTAATGTGGAATAAGACATACATTAAATTATTGTGGAAAAATTATACTTCTTTAATGGGGTCTCAAATTTAAATCTGTAATCCTCTGAAAGAGCTATATTAGAAAGTGAAATTCAATATTCTAAAAATTCCAAATAATTTCATGTTTAAAGTTTCAATAACAAAATTCGGATCTTTCCTGCACCATGCACAGGAAGTAAATTAATTTGTTAAAGTGGTGGAAAACACAGAAGAAAAGGTAGTCATGTAGCAAAAACAATCTGTGCAACTCACCTGGTGCTAATAAAGGGGAAGTAACATTTCCAAACAAACTTTGACATTATTACAAGTAAAATCAAGGATAATAAACAATACACAAGTGACTATTAACAGAATTTCACTTTAGATGCTTTCATAAACTGGTGATAATCAGTCACTTTAGTTGTATACAGAGTTATCCTAAACTCTCTAGTTACAATAATAAAGTATAAAACAGTATCACAAAGACAATGATTCTCAAATTTATACAGTTCATTGATACAATACAAACTTATACATACAAAAAAAAGTAATTATGTCTAACCATATTGCTGAATGTTAAACACCTGCACGTAATACAACAAATTTATGTGCTATTCCAATGTTGTTTTAGGTGCTAGTGCCTAATAAATATTGAAAAGCAGCAACTGATCAACACAGAGAAATGGGAAATTTACATCTAGTTGCAGTACGTAAAACGGAAGTAAAGCTCAGTAAGAAAAACTAAGCCTTATAAAGGTAAATAGATTTTATACTGAGCCTTACATTTATCATACACCTTTTGTTACCAAAAGCATAATGTACAAGTTACAGAAATGGTGTTACACATGAAAAAAGTTTAAAGTATCTTACCACTGGTCTTTCAGAATATCCAAACAGATTGCTCCTGTCACAGAACTAATGTTTGGATGCCATATTTTTGTCATAAACTTGACCTGAAGAGAGAACAAAAAATCAAAGAGATCTTTAAAATCAAACAAATACGATGTGCAAGATAACTCATCTAGTTTGTAAAAAGTTAAGCTTTTTAAACAATACATACATGTACAAATACTTCAGTATGAAAATATTTTGTTTCATGAAATAATACTACAATTATATAACCCTTCAGTATTTCAACTATTTTTAAAATATGTTAATATGCTGCACAGCACTTCAGTTGGTTAAAACCCAACTATTTCAAAATGCAATGTTAGAATGGAATGCTCTACAAATAAACTTGAAAAAAAATCAGTTTCAACTTTTTAAATTAAAGACAATGAGTATACATAAAAAGTGAGAGAAGTACATAATTAAAAAAAAAAGAAAATAAGTAAGAAAGTGAAATGGTGAACATACACAACGACACTCTTTTATTTCAGCTGAAGGAAATTATATACACTGTGACTAAACCCAACTTAATAACCAATGTACCTTACAAAATATTGCTTGAGCACTTAGATAAATTTAGATTTTATTCAACCATAATGCTACATGTAGACCTGGCCATTTGTACTAACTATTTACCTTATATGAACCTACCAATTTCCCCTTGAAATCAAGATCGGAATGTAGCATATCACACTGCTTATAAGTATTAACTTTTTTCCACTATTCTCAAAAATTTTAAATTTCTATTATTCATTAAAATGACAACCATTGCTGCCGAGTCATCCACATAAATAAAAACAGAGATGAAGACATAATAGAAATCCTCAATACAGTTTTTAATAATTTTTCTGTTACCATTATCAAAAACAATTTTTGTAAGATATAATTTTCCTATACCGAAAATGTATTTCCGATAGATACATACCTCCTCTCACAAAATTTGGTGCTGCCCTCTATATGCAAACGTTTTCTTTATGCATGCCACAAGTCTTCTGCTCCTCTTATTGGAATTGTAATATTCCAATGTGTCTCTCATGCAAATCATCAATAAGAGCGTAACATGCTCATGTGACGCATGTGACTCCCTCTATACTCATCTACTGAACTATCACCTCAAAGTTTGGCAGAAGACTTAAGTACCAGAGGAAAGTGGGGAGGAAGGGTGAAAAGTGTGAGAGGATGGAAGTACCTAGCAGAAATACATTTTCAGTATAGGAAAATTCTAATTTCCGATACAGTACTTACCTCCTTTCACAAAATTAGCTACCCACATTGAATACAATAAGGGACTATTGCAAGGGAATTATAGAAGTACCCCCCAAAAGCTTCTGAAGGATACCCCTGGAAATGAGAGAGTCAGATCAGAATATCAGATGAGGGGAACAGCACCACTTCTGAACCAGGTACACTTTTCGCCCCTCTGAAATGTGGAGAAGATAAGGGCAGAAAAGAAGAGGAGCATATCTAAGGGGCAGAAAATTGTGTCAGGATCATGAACCTAACCGCATAAGTTAAATGTAACTCAATCCCAAGAATAGAAATGGGTAAAACAATGGATGTGCCCTCAGGTGTAGAGTGGTTAGGGCATGACAGACCATACACAGTAAGTCAACTGCATCCAAAACCAATGCAGCTGGGAACCGACATCCATGCAAGGGTAGGATGAGGATCATACCATCTCCACCTCAAACACAAGAGATTGTGGGACTTAGAATCATGCTGTCTCCCAGGTATGACACAAGTATTAGCATTGAGCTATCAATCTGGGGACCCAACATCTGGTATCAAAAGGATGTCTATCACATGCAATGAACTCTCCCAATCGTGAAACTTACCAGAACCATCCAAAAGGCGAAAACATCCCCGTATTGAGATAGGACAAGAGAGAGTCAAAGGACAAAACCATGAACATCCACTTAACACTTCTGTAACCCACAATATAGACAGAGTAAATTGAAGGAGGCAGATAGACAACCCAAAACATGTGTGAGGACTTATATTGATTGGTTCTACTCTAAATCCAGAACCCAGCTGTGGGATACCAACATCCGTGCGGGGGTAGGATGAGGGGTACACAATCAAAGGGGTGAACTGCATTTTGACGTATCACTTCTTCGTAATTATATATCTCAAAAAAGGAGAACAGTATGCTATCGACACCTGCAGAACACCACCTTCCTACTCTGCACTGAATGGTTATAACCATATTTGTGTGGAACCCATTCAGGAGGGTGCTTCCACAGTCAATCACCCCAGTGGTTTGGAACTGGAATCTGGTAAGGACTCCCATACTCCACTAGAATAAAGAAGGGTGAAATGACAGTGGAGAATCTGGAGGAATGTCACCACCTGAAACAGTGCAATGGGTGACCACAAAACCCTATATTGAAAAGTAGACCATACCGAGCTATTCACTATAGGCATGGCAGGGATGGGCAGCTATCCCCTTCTGCTTTACCAATGCAACCGACCTTGTAACCCCCCCTCCCCAAAATCGATATAAACCTAAATTACCCATATTTTCTTTCTAGAATGACTTTAAATTGTAACATGAAACCACATTTGTTTATCCTAAGTAGCTCTAAGTTTGTAACAATATACATCTATTTATAATTAAATTATATTGTTTTATCACCCTTTGAACCATCTAACTATTATCTGTGCCATTATAAGTTGTAAATCACTCAGGGAATGTGCAGATCATGTGAACCATTTTAATTATATTATTATTATAACTTATTTTACCTAATCTAGTCTTAAATAACTTAAAAATATCCATATTTTTAGATTTTAGTTACTTGTATAATAATAAATAAAGAGTAAATATGAAAAACAAGAAATAAAGTACTTACCTAATCTTTTTTTTTTCTTGCTCTCAGGTTTTTGGAGAGAGTTACCCTAATTTTTTTATTTTATAGATAATAATGCACTTCATAATTTTTATTTAATTAA